CTGGCCGCTCCCTTCGCGCTCCCCTTCCCCCCGGCCCGCGCCCCCGGCCCACTCGAGGCCCCTCCACGGCGCTTCCCCCAGGGTCCTCCTCTGGGCGTTACTGCGGCAACAATGCTGCCCTCTCTCCCGGGGTAGAGGCGGCTGTGTCCCGATCGGATCGCGTGGCTCGGGAAGGCGCGGCCGGGAGTTTCCGCTGGGACCCGTCTTCTCACCAGTCCCCCACCCCCAGGCCCGCGGGTGGGAGAGACGGGATGGGTTTGACTGTGATTTGTCGTCTTGGGTGGAGCCTGCCTGTAACCGGCGGGAGATCGGCTTGTCGAGTGAGGACAGCCCAGGTGTCGAAACTCGAGGCGGGGGATCTAGGCGCCCCGAAGTTCCTGCGCCCCGCCGGGCAGCTCGGGGGACTTGACAGCATTGACTTGACAGCGAAAGCCATCAGTCTCGGTTCCCTTGTCTTTGAGGTGGGGTGACACTCTAGGCTCCACCCACCTCCCCGGGTTGAAGTGAGGCGCTGGCACGTGGTCTGTCAAATGGACGGGTTTCCAGGTGCATTAGACCGGCGAAGTGATTTTGTGGAAAAGTTAGGCGTTTCCCACCCCCCCGGACCGAATATCCCAGGAAATGTGGTTGGCAGTGATTGTTCGGCGGTCACTTCTGGTTCGTTTCGTCATCACCCCTTGGGCAACTAGGGATTTCGAGTGACGGCCCTTTCGGGTTTTCAAATGCTCCTTTCATTCTACTTAAAAAAAAATAAATAAATAAATAAAACTTTGGGTTGAATTTAACCATCTCCAGGACGCCTTATTCTTATTTTAGTGTTAGTTCTCAGACTTGCTTTAAAAAGGAAGCGACTCATTTCGCTTCTCTGCTTAAAACCCTCAATAGATTCCCTATCTCGCTGAGAATCAAAGCCCACGCCTCTACCATAGCCTTGGGGAGGGGAGGGGGTCTTATACTATTGTCTTTTCTGAGTTGATTTTTTTTTTTTTTTTTACTAACCTTCCCCTGCCCATCCCTCGTTTGAAGATCTCTTTCTGCATCTCCCTAACTGCCCCGCTTCCTTTAGGTCTTTTCTTAAATACTGATCACCTTCTTAGGGAATCCCTCTCGGAAGACCTCATTGTAAGCCTCACATTTGGTATCTGTTTTCCCTGCTTTATTGTTCTCCCATAGCATTTATCACCATCTACCATGCATCACAATGATTATTTTTCTTTTCTGTTTTACTATATGTATTCTCTCACCACATGTGTGCTCCATGAATTTGTCTTGCTCGCTCCCATATCTCCAGGTCTTAGAGGAGTCCCCCCGGGCATGTAGTACATGCTCAGTAAATATTTGTTAAATAAATGAATGAAAAATTATCCCTTTGGTCAGCGACAGGGATCCTGAGAAAAGACACAGTTCAGTTAAAGCTTATTTATAGTGTTGGACTTTGGGTTTTTGTAAACGTTTTCTTCCAAGTTCTTTATACAGTGTGTCATGCAGGTGTTATCTCCTTTACTACTCTGACATCTTTGTCATGTAGGTAGGTGGCAGATATTATGACAGATTGAGGAAATGAGGCAGAAGGAAATTGACTTGGCTCAAGAAGTTGCAGAACTGATTTTAGATCACAGGACTAATCATATTTCTTTTATTAGAGTTATTCCCTCCCTCCTAAAATGTGAACTAAGTGCTTAGTAGATTCTGTTGACAGTTCTGTGAGGAGTGTCAAGCTCACTTAGGAAAAACAGTTCCCATTGGGAACTTCTACACTATGTTTTCTGTGAACCATTACTTTCATTATAAAATGTTGAATGCACCGAGGGAGCAAATGTCAAAATGTGCCCCAAGTATAACGTTTCCTAAAGATTTATAAATTACCATTTCTTGATATTCACTCCTCACAGATGTCTCCCCTGGAATGTATTTCCTCCTAGACTTTTTGAAGGTAGAGACTGTTTCTTATTTTTTTAGGTATTCCCAGCATCAGCACAGCATCTAGTCTAGCACAGTGTAAGTACTCAGTGTTGTTGAATGAAAAAAATTACTCTTACTATTTGCAAGTCAGCTTTCTAAAATTGTTTTTGGTTACGAGCAACGAATAGGTCATTCCTATATGAAGATGTTGGTAAATTGTAAAATGCTTTGGCAAATGTTTGTTCTTAAAAATGCCATCTATTTTTGACATGAATTAAAAGGTTAGAAATAACTTTTCAGGGTGGGGAGCTCACTTCAAGTTGTTACTTAAGCAATAGATGAATTTGCCATTAGAATAAAGTCTTGGTTTTAAAGAACTAGTTGCTAGTTCCATTTGGGAAATTATTGTCATGAAAATTTTTAGAGAAGTTTACAAATTTTCAAATATAGGCATACCTCAGGGATATTGTGGGTTTGGTTCCACACCAGTGCAAAAAAAGTGAATATCGTAGTGAAGCTAATCACGAATTTTTTGGTTTCCCAGTGTATATAAAAGTTATGTATTATGGCAGTCTGGTAAGTGTGCAATAGCATTATGCCTAAAAAATGTACATATCTTAATTAAAGATGTTGGTACAAATTACTAACCATCATCTCAGCCTATTGGAAAATGGTGCCAGTAGACTTGCTCAACACAAGATCTCCACAAACCTTCACTTTGTAAAAAAAAAGAAAGAAAGAAAAAAAAGGCATTATCTATGAAGCATAATAAAATGAGGTATGCCTGTTCAGATTCCCCCACTATCTGAAAGTAGAGCATTCCTATGAAACCTTTTGTAAGCTGAAATGGCATAAAAGAAAGTAGTAGTTACCATTAATTAATACAGTTGACTCTTGGAACAATGCACAGGCTTAGGGGCCCCCCATCCCCCAGTTAAAAATGTGTATAACTTTTGACTTCCCCAAAACTTAGTTGTCCCTTGGTACTCTCAGAGGATTGGCCCTAGGATCCCCAAAATCCACCTATGTTAGGTCCCCTATGTAAAATGGCATAGATCAATGCATACAGTGGGTCCTCTGCATCTTCAGCCTCGCAACCATGGATTGAAACAGGACGGGTGTTTATTGGAAAAAATCTGCATATAAGTGGACCTGCACAATTCAAACCCGTGTTGTTCAAGGGTCAGCGGTATCTGAAAAAACTCTGATCATTCCCATTGTCCCCTAAACACCTACAGAATGATATGAAATATGCTTAATTGCATCCAGTTTTACACTAAGTGTAATACCTGTACGATCTCTCAGGCTTTTCTGACACCTTAGGATACATCTTGCTAACTGATGCACAAAATAAATCGAGATAAAGCACTGATGCTCACAGACACATTTCAAAGCTGTCGCAGCTTGATGCTGAAATCCTGAGTGTGATGCCCTGGGAAGGAGCTTGGTGGGGCCACTCTTGATGCCCCCCCCCGCCTCCCCCCGGTTGCATGCTGCCTCTGGACCAGTTCTGCAAAAACAAATGCTGAATACAGTACTATTTTCTCCTTTATTTGTGCTAGCGAAAATCCTCTGTGTGTTTCTTTCAGTTAGCAAAAATAGGTCCTAACATCGGTCTTTCCTGAAAGTGAATTGGCGGACTTTCAAAATGTGGGGGATATCTGTACTGCTTTTAGACTGGTCATCAAAAATCAAGACCTGTCCCTTCTCTCTTTTACTTTTTAGTATGTAAATCTTGAGGACGTTACTTGACTCATCATTCATTCAGAATATCTTAGTCACTTTCATTTCCTGAAATGAGTTTTCCTAGAAGGGTTTTTATATAAAAACATGGATCTTCCTGCTAAAATCACTCAGAGATTGTTTGGCTTTGTGAAACTTCAGGGAAGTCTTTAACTCTTTCCTTTGCATTCCTTCCTTCCGTTTCCTCTGCAGCCCATCATCTTGGTTCAGGCCTTTGTAAGGCCTTGCCCAGCCTCCCAAAAGATGGCTCTCCCCACACTCCTGCTTCTCAACATTTTAACCACCTACCGATGACTTCTTCAGGTTGGCTGTAGTTATGTCTCACCTTTTTGAACAACCTCCCAGCATTCCTTGTTGCCTAATCAATGTAATAGATTTCTTACCATTATATTGCAGGCTCAGATAATATTCTCCCAACCTATATCTTGTCTGTTTCCTCCTATATCTTTCAAAATACACTCCCAGCCTATAACCTAGTCTTCCCCTGACCACTGTACTCCCTCTGCCCCAGTGTATTTTCTGTTACTGAGGCAGTGAGCAAATTAGTGTGGATCCTGAAGATACAGCTGAAATGACTAGGTATGGGAGGACTGTATACCAAATGAATTCTTGATGAGAATAGAAATTAGCAACCTTTGTGACTTTGAGACTGTTCATTGTCTTTAGATGACCATTATCAAAAAGACAGAGGGATCAGTGACCTCCAGTAGTCAAGGAGGAGGGAATTACAGGAGACATGTTTTGTACATATTGACGATTAAGGTGATGTGAGTATTCAAGCATAGATGTTTGAGGACAATAGGGAGAGAGAAGTAGGTGGAAAGTGCAGCTAAAAAGAAGTTGGAATGAGGAAAACTATTGGGAATTTTTGATGAAAAGAAAACCAAGCTGAGTTCCTTGAGGTTTTTCTCTCTCCTTATAATAGAAAGAGTTAAAATAAGATTTTAAATCATTGTGGTGCTGGCTTAATGGTTTGGAGGGAAAGTCAGAGAAGGACCAGGCCAAAAAAAAAGTTGCTCTTTCGGACATCTGAGATATTCAGGATGGTTTTCAGAGTTTATGGTAGAACCATGTAAAGGTACTTCATTATAAAAATCTACAGTTAAAATGCAATATTCTAATATAGTTCACCATGGTATTCTTTTTTGGAAGCCGTAGCCTCTATATTGATCCTTTTGCATGTCCAGTAACAAACTCTATTGGACAAAAATCAAACACATAACAACCTTACATTGAATCTACCCTGGAAGGGGTTGTTATGTTTATAAGACTCAAAGTATAGGGTCTCCCAAAATTCACACAAGAAGTAATTTTGATAGAAAACACAGGTTTATAATGAAAAATTGTAAATTTTTTATTGATTCATAAAGTATACAGTATAGGATTATGTATGGAATAGCACATCGGGTAAATGGCCTCTACGGCTTTGCTGGCACATACACAAAGCCGTGGTCTTCATTGGTCTTCATTGTCCCTGCTCCCTGGCCATAATTGGTACTTGGTAATGCTTATCAAATTGAAAGGATTGAAATCAAAGGGCAACAGATATTAGAATCTGATTCAATAAACCAAGCAAAATTAGGGTTTTATTTTTTGTTGTTGTTGTTAATGCTCACACAAAATCCAAATCTTGCGTGAATTTTGGGACACCCTATATTTTCCATAAAGTTTTTTCTTATTAAGTCTAAAGGACCGTTTACTTGTTTTTCTCTTAATAAAGTTGAGAAGTAATTGGGTAGTAGGGATCAATTTTGGGAAGCATTCATTCATGAAATTCAAGACATATATTTGTGAGAAGTATAAAAAAAAAATGCACAGTATATAAATAGGGAATGAAACCATACTAAAAATTTCATGAGAGCAACCTGACCAGACAGTGTACAAATAATACATTCTGTACCCTGCAATTTTCAGGGATGAATTTTTTCTTGTTCTTTACTCTTCACAGGAATCTCTGCAACAGCTTTTTGGGGGTCTTGGTATCATTTAGATGCTAAATGCAGTGATTGCTGATAACCCGGAATGGTGGTTTTATTTCCCCAGTTAAAAAAAACACACTTATTTAGGTGTGCTCAATGGTTAGGACACCCGCCTTCTCTCTAAAGGGTCTGGGGTTCCATTCCCGGTCAAGGGCATGTACCTGGGTTGCAGGTTCAATTCCCAGCCCTGGTTGGGCACATGCAGGAGGCAACCAGTCCATGTGTCTCTCACATCTATGTTTCTTATCCCCTTCTCCCTCTTTCTTCCTCCCTCCCCCCCTTCTAATCTCTCTAAAAGTCAATGGAAAAAATATATCCTCGGGTGAGGATTAACAAAAAACAACACTTATTTAGAGATGTAGGCATTGCAAAGAAACTCTTTCATAATTGATATCTTTGTACCATGCTATCACTGGATTTACAGTAGAAGGTCTTTTAAGCGTACAGATGTGTTTTAAAGCCAACTATTTTACGTGTAACATATATTCCTTTGCCTTTTGTCTTTTTAGCCGTGTGGTTTTACCCTGTTCTGTTCAGGAGGTAAGTCATGTATTATTACTTCTGTATTATTTTATTGTTATAGTACATTTTGATATGTTAATCTAAAGGTATATTTTTGTTGTATTTATTTACCTTTACATTTTAGGTTTTGTGAAAAAAAACAAAACAGGTTGTTACACAGATAATTGTAAATGAATTTCTGTTACGTTGCTTAGTTTTGGAAGGGACCAAAGAATGTAGTTTAACCTGCTGTCTACTGCAGAAATTCTGTCTACAATATCCCAAAGAAAGGAGGTTTTTGCTCAACTTAAGCACTTTAAGGCTAAGTCACTTGCTGCTTAGAAAAGAAGCCTACTTTACTGTTGAATTTTTAAAAACATTTGTCTGTATTTTAAGCCAAAATCTGCTTTCCCATAATACTTGACTGGTTAAGTTCCTTCCACTTGAGCAATAAGAAATAGGCCTGTTCCGTCTCGCAAAGGGTAACCCCTCAGGTCTTCTGTCCTCCCCCAATCCCTTTTGTTGCATTTTCTCGAGGTTACAAGGTTAAACATTTCCAGCATGTCCATCTGGCCTGATACAACATGACCCCTAGACTTCCTCACCAGCTGGTCTCACTACTGCATGGTAGCAGTTATTGCTTTCAACTGAAATGGTATTCCAGACATGTTCTGACCAGCACATAACTGGGAGAGATTATTGTCTCTCTTGATCTGCACATGATACAGAAATACATCACCTGTTCAGAAGTTGCATGTTTTGGAGTTTTATTTATCTGTAATATAAGCCAAGAATGAGGATAGTAACAGCAGAAAAGACTTCACAGAAATCCAGATATGGGTAGCAAAGCCAGAAAGCCCTCTGGGTCCTTCTGTAACTTGTGCACAGTGTGCCCTTGCTCAGTTATCTGGGTGTCTTGGAGCTGACAGTGAATTAGAAGTAGTGACTTGGAAGTGGGACAAAACAAACTGATAATCATAGAAGTGACAGGTGACAGAAGACAGAAAGAAAAAAAATAAAATGAAGGAACTAGAAACCAATAGCTAACTGGCTCTGTTTAATGTAAACTTGAATACAGCTGTATATATCTCGGTAGTGCCTGAGGTTTCACTGTATTAAAACACTCCAAACAAGCCAGGCACCCTATTCTTTACTTGTATAGTTCATTGTTTGAACTTGAATGCGGAAATTGACATTGGTTTTTGTTTCTTTTTTTCTTTTGGTTTTGGATGTTGGATCAACTTGGATGTTGAAATCTTTCTTGGTATTGTCACCCAAAACAATCCCAGCTCTTTGTTGTACTCGCACTTAATAAATACATCTCCTGTCTTTTTTTGTTGGTCTTTAAAATGACAATGAAAGCCTAGTAGAATGCCACACGACATTAGTCCATTAAGAATATTTTTTTTGATACTGTTGTTGTTTCTGTGTAAATTTTTGTTGCTTTGTTCGTGGCCAAGATCAAATTTACCTTTTGACTTAGAGACATCTTAATCCTATTTTTGAAATATGAAACATACATTTTAAAGGACTTAAGGATTGACTGTAGCATTACTGGACTAACACTGATGATGTATCATGAAAAACAGAAGAAGAAAGACAACCCTTTCTGCAGTCTAAAAATCCCTACAAAAACTTACTTGATTCATTTTAAAAAATGTGCTTGGTTCTAGCTTCCTGGAGAGAGACAGAGACATGGACAAACAGAGAGACTGGGATAGAAGGAGGGAGGTAGACGAGAGAAGGGAGAGAGAATGAGAATTAACATGCAAGATACCATCATATTCCTATGGGCTTTTTATGTATTTATTTTTATTTTTTAATGTTTTATTGATTTTAGTGAGAGGGGAAGGAAGGGAGAGAGAGAGAGAGATTGAGATTGTTCAGTTGCTTCTGAGACACACCTGGACTGAGAATCAAACCCACAACTTGGATATGTGCACTGACCAGGAATCAAACCAGCGACCTTTTGGTGTAAGTGACGATGTTCAACCAACTGAGCCAAACCAGCCAGGGCCCTATGGGCTTTTTAGATAGGAATATTTACAGAGCTTACAGCTAGCCTATTTTTTGGCCCTCAAATAAAATGTTGGTTTTGAATGATTAGTTTTTACGGGTAGCTTTTCTTTGAAAACATGCCTATATAAAAGAAAAAAACAACAACACATTTTTTCAGGCTGTCTTCATTGGGAGGGAGAAATTTAGCCAAATTTGAAAAGAGATTGGAGATAGTGCCATGGTTGAGTCCTTAGGAACAAATCAGAACACAAGAACTTTGCTTTTTATCATTTATTGGAATGGTTAGTGACTCCAGATTGGCATAGAATATTGCCCACTCACAGGTATTGGAGCAGACCACTGAGAATTCTGGTGCACTCTAAAATGAAATAGAAACCACAGTCAGCAATTTTTTGCCTTTTCAGGCTTTTATTATACTTTACATCCCTCCCCTTTATTATTGAGAATGGTTTTCTGGTTCCTCAGTTTTCTTAATTGACAAAATGACAGTTCTATACCTGCCATACCTTCATCCAAATTTTGTAAGATTACTGAACTATAATAGATATGAAAATGTATATTTATTATTCAAAAGCGAACAAAGTGTCAAGATGTTTGGTTTTTTTAAGAAAACTTTTATTTAGAGGAAGAAAGAGTTCCTTTTTAAAAATATATATATTTATTGATTTCAGAGAGGAAGGGAGAGGGAGATAGAAGCATCAGTGATGAGAAAGAATTATTGATCAGCTGCCTCCTGCATGCCCCTTACTGGGGATCAACCCCACAACATGGGCGTGTGCACTGACTGAGAATTGAACCATGACCTCCTGGTTCATAGGTCGATGCTCAATCATAGAGCCACACCAGCCAGGTGTTTTTTTGATAAGTGGATATCAAAGTACAAATTAAAGCACCAGAGTGTTTGTAACTAGCAGTTTTTTTGAACAATGGAAATCTTGTAAAATATTACAGTTTCTTGAAGTTGTATGAGCATCTGGTGTTCGTCTTCCTAAACATTCATTTCTAATTTGAGTCACATTTTCTTGTAGAACATATGTGCTAACTGGCTTGGATTTGCTCTTCTGTATCATCGATAGTAAGATTTTAGTACAGGAAGTTTCCACAGTTACTACTGACTTACTGAGATTCCTTTACTCTTTGAAATTTCAGTATCAGGTTGGGCAGCTTTACTCGGTTGCAGAAGCTAGTAAGAATGAGACTGGTGGCGGAGAAGGAATTGAAGTCTTAAAGAATGAACCTTATGAGAAGGATGGAGAGAAGGGACAGTATACACACAAAATTTATCACTTAAAGAGGTAAGCTGTCTATTCACATTTGATACTTAATCATTATCTATAATAATAAAAACATAATATGCTAATTAGACCGGACATCCGAGCAACCTTCTGGATGAAGCTGAGGCAGCCGCCACAGCTATGAGGGCTGAGCCCCTTGCTGGAATTTCGTGCATCGGGCCTCTAGTATTAAATAACTAGGCATCAACTACTCGACTTACTTATTAAGCGTGTAACTACCTAACAACAAAACTGGCATATCACTTGTATGTTTTCTTGTTTTCTACAACAAATGGGATTATACTATACATATGGTTCTGCAGTTTGCTTTATTTTTTATGCAGTCATATATCATGAACATCCTTCCATGTTATTGTTTACTGTCCATTTCATTCTTTTTCAAACTGAGTAAAATTTCTTAGTATGGACATAGCATAGTTTACTTATCCATTCTCTAAATGATAAGTTGACTAGGTTGTTTTTTGGGCGTTTTCCAGTTTTTGTCCATTACAATAACTATAAAAGTAGGATTGCTCAAAGGACACGCTCATTTTTAGTTTTATTATTGCCCGATGGCCCTCCAAGAGTTTAATAGTGTTCATTTTCCCATATTTCTCTATCTTTTTAAATTTGGCTGATTTGATACCCAGAAAATAATCTCTTATTTAACTGTGCATTTCGTTATTAGTGAAGTTGAATGTCTTTTCATATTCGTTTACAATTTGAATTTGTTTTGTGACTTGACTATTTGAATCCTTTGTTCATTGTTTTTTATCTCTGGTTCATAGAAGTTCTTTTGCACATTCTCCTGAGTCTGGTCTCTATCTTTGGCATAAATATTTAAAATAAAAAACCCATACCAATATTTTTTCAAGGGCAAAAGACTAGTAATGGTTTTTTAGAGTAGATTTTGTCAATAATCTCCTTAGTTTGTTAAAAGTAGGAGGGAATCTTTGCTTTTCTCTTACCTATATTAACTTATCCGTTAATAAAGACAAAACAGGGACCCACTGTCACAGTAGTCAGGGAGAGGGAACATTCATGGAGCAAGGGCATTCAGATGTCTACACTCAAAGCCCTCAGTGTCATACAGAAGGCAGATAGCCACAGGAAAACTGTATTTTGGAAGAGCAAAGAATCATTTAGTAGTAAGTCCTGAGGCCTTCGCTGTCCTATAGGAAAGTCTGCAATCATGACACAGGGCTGGCAGTGCAGTCCTGTCAGATAGACTTCAGTACCTGCAAGGATGTAAGGTGAACATGCTGAAGGCATACCCATAGTTCCTAGGGAGTTTTAGAGCGCTCTCCCTGAGGAAATTAAATAACTATGTGTCCAGTAATATATGTTCCCTTTTCCAGCATTTATTCCGTTGGGTAACGTGTAGAGTGCTCTGGTACAGCATCAATAGAATTGCAGACTTGGCAGACTTGGATGGGTAAGGTAGTTGACCAAGGCCACCAGCACTTTATTTAACATTTGAGATAGTGGAAGTGTTGAGGTCTACTTTACCCACTGTAATCAAGGCCCCTGGATTCCCTGGCCAGTATGCCTTCCTGTTTCAGCAAAAACACTTGTTGGTAAAATGTACATACTTCATCTCAATCAGAAAATTGAGGAACAATCTTGGCAAGGTATTAAAAAATCCAAAGTTTAGTGACCATCTCGAGGGACATTTCAAATGTCTGGTTTCCTTCACTCTTAGATTATATTCTTTTTATGGGATAGAGGTTCTTTCCATACCTTTGA